GGGCCCTGCAGGGGAGCATGCAGCAGGGTGTGCAGAGTTCCTTTGTAGGCATCAGACTGAGCCACAACCTGAAAGCTTGGAGCTGTTAACCAGGCCAAGGAGGGTGGGAGAGCAGGAACATGCAAAGGCACAGAGGCAGGAGGATTGGGGTACATATGAAGGACCAGAAGAAAGCCAATGTGGCTGGAGCACAGAGAGCAAGAAGAGGTGGGAAGAGGTGACAAGGGAGACTTTGACAGCACCCATATTAGGCAGATCCTAGAGCCTGTTTAAAGGGTTTTTGCTTTCTTTTAAGAGTTTTGGGAAGTCATTGTAAGGCTTTAAGTTGGAGAGGTCAATGTAAAGAAGAGAAGTAAGAGGTGGCAGGTGACAGGTGCAGTTAGAAATCATTCTTCTAACAGGATAAGAAAAAGAAACGAGCTGATGCTTGGATCTTTAGAGTCCAAGTGAGAGGTGATGGTTCTAGGACAAGGTTGATAGCACCAAGTTCAGAGACATCTACGGATTCGAGAGATTGGAGGAGGTAAAATCCACAAGGTTTGTTGATGGGGATGGAGGATGAGGAGGAGGGGGAGGTCAGGATTTCCTGGGATTCTGGCTTTCATCATCAGATGGATGATGGTACCATTCACAAGGAGGTGTAGCAGTACATGAGAACTAGGTCTTTGAAGTCAAAACCTTGACTTGGCTTGGTTTTGGGTCTGGGGTGGCTTTGAGACAGCCAAACATCAGTGTCAAGTATAGTACATATGCACTTGAGCCTGCAGACTTGGAGCTGAGTGGAAAGGTCCAAGTGTGAGGTCTAGATCCAAGTATAAGGGGTGACATCACTGGGGAAGAAAGTACTGTAGTCAGAGTAGAGACCTGCAGATGAGTCCTGGAGAGCCGGACAGGACAGGGCTGGGGAGAGGAGGAAGAGAAAGCCAAACCAGAAGGGAGACTGGAGAGGAGTCATGCAGTGGTTGGAAGAGAGCTAGTGGGAGGTTGCGTCACCAGAACAGAGGAGGAGGGTGTGGTCATCACTGTATAATTGCCCAAGGTCAAGTAAGGCAAAGGCTGAAAATACCATTGGTTTGGCAATGTTAGTTACCAATATCAAAAGTGGTTTCTGTCGGTGATTGGACTAAAGCCGTGGGCAGTGGGGGAGAAGGGAAAGGTGCAGAAGCCAGGCTGATGGAGAAGGTTTCAAGAGAACTGGGTTCAAAAGGGCACTGTGCCTTAGGACAGTAACTGTAGGTGGATCAGGATGCCAGGAGCTCTTCTTGTCTTTACTGGAGAATTTGGATATGGAAAGGTCTACCTGGGAGAGAAAAAGGCCTAAGAGAGCAACAACAAAATGGTGGCAGGGTAAGCTCCTGAGAGGCAGGAAGAAAACTTCGTGGTTTATTCCAAAAATGTATCCTCTTTCAGTTTTGGAGGCCAGATCGCTAAAATCAAGTGGGCAACAGAGCCACGCTCCTGGTGAAGGCTCAGTCCTTTCTTGCCTTTTCCCAGCTTTTGGAGGTGGTGGCAATCCCTGGTGTGCTTTGGTTGTAGGCTGTCTCTATCATGCATGGCCACCTTCTTCTTGTGTGTGTGTCTATGTCTTCATATGTCCTTCTAATATAAAGACTCAATTGGTAGATTCAGGGCCCACTGTAATCCAGCATGATCTCCTTTTAAAGTGATTACATCTGTGAATCTGTGAATCTAGATTACATCAATAATGTTTTTTTATTTTTAAAGTCACCTTCACAGATGCCAGGGGTTAGAACTTGAACATACGTTTTTAGGAGGTAAAATTCCGCCCACTGTAATAAAGAAGATTAGAACTACCACTATTAGTTGCAGAGACTGAGAGATGTGACCCAAGATGCCCAGTCCTGGCCTGGGACCCGAGACCAGACCGTGAAGGGAGCCTGTACAGGACAATGTCCAGCAGCCTCAGCAGTCCCCTGACTTGCTCCCCCACTGACTGAGCAGCAACTGGGCTGGTTCCTCCCACCAGGAGCCAGGACTTCTGAGTTCATGTCCTCCCCTCTGTTCCCCATCTTAGGCTCATTTGACACCTTTCTCTTCCCAGAGGAATGTGAAGAGCTGTGGCAGGTGCACTGCTGGGGTTGTGCCACAAAAGGTAGCCCCTCCCAACCCCAGAAAACACACTGCATTTGTGCTATTTTGCTCAGAGCTCCATAAGCAGAGGGCCTGGGGATTTTGCCCAAAGAGCTAAAGGAACAAAACCATAGTCATCTTTTGATTACTGCCCTTTCTGGAATGGCCTCCTTTTGTCCAGGGAGAGTAGGGCTGTTTGCTGGGCCAGCCCCAGGAGCTCTTCCTTGCTGTTTCTCTGCCGATGCTGGGCTCTGAGTTGTCCTGCAGGCCAAGGTGAAAATGTAAACACTGCGATCCTTCTGGAAGTGGCCTGGGACTGCCTACAGGGAGGAAGGGTTGCTCATGGCTTGGCGAGGCTCCCAAGCCTCATGTACAGCGACTCCGAGCTCCAACTTACACAGCTTGGGGTGGGTCCTCAAATGACCTTCCGTTTCTTGTCTGTGCATCAGAGAGGACCATTCCCATTCCAAACAACATTCCTCTGATAAAATCGGCTACACACTGTAAACGTCAAGGAGCCAGGAACATTCCGTGGGACAACAGGATTTTGATAAAGCTGTCTTATTTTGCAAAACCTCCTAGCATCAAACATCCTCCCCCGAGCAGGCAGGAAAATTCTTGGGATGCCACCACACTGGGCAAAGCGGCCATGGCTCCAGAGAAGGAGCACAGAGCCCAGAGAATGGGAATGCAGGCTTTCCAGGCTACTGCAAAGCTCCCCCGATTTCCAGAAAGCAGCGAGAGCTTCCTCCCTTCTTGCAGTCCAGGCTCACAAGTATTGTGACCTGCCCCCCTTCCCCTTGCCAGTGTTCTGTGGGGTCTGTATCTTTCCCACATCCCACTGAGCCCCCACTCTGGTGCTGGTGTGTCACCTTCTGCACGCAGGTGACTCACTGTGGGTCTGTTTCTGGGTGTCTCAGTCTTTACGTCACCCAGGGTTTACTGGGCACCACTAAGCGCCTCCCAGCCCCTCTCCATGAGCCTCTTTTTCTCTCCATTGATGTCTTTCTTTCAATCAACTCATCCCCTATTTTTTACTCTTTCCCTTTTCTGTTTCTTCTTAATTTCTGTTGACAGAGAACTAAATTGTTTTTTCCTAGGTTTGTGGAATATACTTTTTCAGTCTCTGGTTTTAATTTTTTAGAATTGGTTGATGATTTGTACTTTTCTGTATTTTCTCAATTTCTTACAAGAGCATGTGCAATTATTTAAAGCCTTGTATTAAAATATGATGTCCTTGGAAAAAAAGTGCACACATAGTGTGTTGTAAATGTACTACGCAGAACTCCACAAATGCCTGTTATGGCTTAGATCTATATGTTCCCCTAAAGCCTCATGAGCTTATAGGTGGGGCTTTTGGGAAGTGACTAGATCATGGGTGTGTGATCCTGGATCAGTCCACTGGTGTGGTTATTATAGCTGGGTGTGATGTTGGGAAGTGAAGCCTGGTGGGAAGGGGTGGGTCACTGTGGGCGTGGCCTGGAAGAGTACATATCCCTCCTCTTCCTTTGATCCTCTTCTACTTCCTGCCTGCCATGCCATGGGCTGTTTCTCTTCTGCCATGCCCCTCTGCCATGCCTCCCTGCCTTGGACTCAGCCAACTGTGGACTGAATCCTCTACAAAATGAAAGCCAAAATAAACCTTTCTTCTTTTAACTTGTGGGTATCAGGTATTTTGTCCAAGCAACAAGAAAGTTACCAAGTCTATGTCACTCCTTGAACACACACATGTGGTCACCTCTCAGAGTAAAGGATGCTCCAGGTCCCTTCAGGTCATTCTCCCCCACATCAGTCACCACCACCCAGACCTCTTTCAGCACAGATTAGTATTTTTGATAAAATGCAAAATACCTGCTTTTGTGTTTTATATATCCAGAGTGGTGTAATATAGGCTCTTTTGTGTCTACCTTCTTCTGCTCAGCAGTCTGTGAGCTGTTGTATGTAGCTATGATTCCCTGTTCATCTTTCTAGGGAGTAGCTATTGTGGGGCTAACCCTTAATTTATTTTCCTTCTGTTTTTAATGGGCACTAGGGTAGTTTTCCATTTGCAGCTTGTACAATTACAAATTATACATCTATTAACATTCATGTACGTGTCTTCGGATGACATTTATTACAGTTATATTCAGGAAAATTAAAAAAGAAAATGGCTTCCATTTGGACAGATGAAGTTAGCCAAATGGGATTGTTTCAAAGAAGAGAGTAGGAGATGGAACACGAATCCTTTTTCGGTCCTGTTTTCTAGTTGTACAACTGTAGGCCAGTTAACCTCAGCGAGTCTCAATTTTCTCTGCTGAAAAATATAAACAGCAGTACCTGCTGCTATAGTTATTATTACCTCTCAGGCTACCTGTGATAATCAGATGAGGTGATGAATATGAAAAAAAAAATTGGAGGAAAGCATCTTGCATAAAAACAAGGTAATGCTAGTTCTCTTATCAAAGAAAAAAACTAACAGCAACTTCATGTGACTCTTCATTTGTGATTTAAAATTTTGAACCTGTGACTTTCATCAGACAAAGATCTCCCAAATTGCTGACCCAATGTGGGCAATAAAGAAGAAATGTCTCAAAATGTCTCCGAGGGTCTATGTTTCACACGATCAGTAGGAATATATGGTTAGTGGCATCTTTTTTTTCCCTTCCAAAAGGGGAAAGGCTCTTGGCTCATACTTGGGATTTTGGTGTGGATTAGCAACAGAAAACTTCACTGCTGTACTGTAAGAGAGTTGGACAGGAAACAGGCTACATGTCGCCAATCTTCAGAGCAAACCTAAGAGCGTCTTCTCTTTACAGGATAGGGTCACCTGTAGGCTTAGGGAAGCTGCTATGGTCCACACACTGGTGAGGACAGGCTGGACACCTGGCACAAGTTGCCACCCAGTTCTTCCCCATCCAAACAAAACACACCTTGTGCTCTAAGGCCCATGCTCTGAAGGGTGGTGTTTCCCCAGGCCTCACTGGGACAGCTTCTGCAAGAGCAGTCTTCAGGCAACCAGCCCACAGATGTGCCACAAGCTACATGGCAGGATCCCTTCCCCAGGCACTCCTTGTGGGTGGGGAGCCAAGGGTGACCTGAATGACAGTGAGCCATTAATTGAGAAGGACCTGTGACAGAAAGAGATCCAAGGGTGAGCCACATGTGCAGGGGCTTTCCAATGGAGAACTGCCCAAGCATGCAGGAACGAATCAGTCTGAAAACTGGGCCTTAAACCAGTGGCTGTCAGCCCTGGCTGGACAGTGGAATCACTGGAGGAGCTCTTACAAAATGCCACTGCCTAGACTTCTGCTGTGGGGCTTGGCATCAATACCTTTTAAAAGTTCTCCAATTGTTACTAAGGTGCATTCCCCATTGAAACTACTACCTTGACTTAATACAGGAGGAAAGAGTGCATGTAACTTTTAGCAACCTAGGGACATGAAATTTATCAAGTATCTGCTCTGCACTATACTAGGTTCTGCCTGTACAAAGATGAACAAAACATATATAGCCCCTGCCCTTAACAAGCCAACAGATTAGGAGGAAAGATGGACTCATAAATACATATAAGTTACTTCACAGAAGGCTCAGCCAAGTGCTTTAAGAATATTGAGGTCTGCCGGAAAAAGCTCTGTTAGAGAAGTGACATTAGAACTCTTTCCTGAGGATGAGCAGGACTTTCCCAAGCAAAGGAAACAGGAAACAGAAACTTGGAGGAGACAGTATCATGAGGCACTGAGTCCTACAGTGCTACAGTGTGCACATAACACAAGGAGTGCTGGAAGAGGAGGCTGGGAAGAGTGGCAGGGCAAACACCAAAGCCTGGACTCCACTGAGCTCTCACTGTTTGAAAAATGAGGCAAATAGGGAAGACTAGAAAAGAGAGCAGGCACTTGGGGGAGCAGCAAGGAGCCACTGTAGGGACTGAGTTGCGAGGTGATGAAGGTCCTGACCGAGAAATTAACAGCAGAAATGAAGGAGGGAGCAACCCAAGGGACATTTCCAAAACAGGCAATACAATTTGGTAAGAGAATTGGGGTGCAGGGAAGCATCCCAGTAACTGATCTGAGACAGTAGGATGATACGATATTAACAAAGATGGGGATGCTGGGTAGAGCCTCTAAATGTCATGACATGCCAACACATCCAAAGGGAAACGTATCCAAGGGTTAGCTGGAGAGCGGAAGTTGCAGCATGGCAGGTGAGGAGAGTTGAATGCTTAGGTAGGAATCCTATATACTCTGCCAGGTATTTGGCAGGGGAAGGCAAGACACCTGGGGCGACACCAGGCAGAGCAGGAACAGGTGTGTATTCGCCAAGACTGACTTGTGTGCAGGTGGAGACAGCAGGAAGAAGGGAGTAAGGAGGAGCTGATGAGCAGGGTCCGTGAGGAGGGAAAACATGGGGTCTACAAGGGGAAGCCTTTGTCTTTGGAGAAGATAGGCAGTTTTGAATGGAGATGGAGATGTTGGAGAAATCTCATTCCCAAGGGATCCCTGCTAAAGAGCACTAAGCAAACTTCCTTCCTGAAAGCAGGGTTTGGGAAAGTTTTTCCATAAAGGGCGTTATAATAAAATCTCAGGCGTTGTGAGGTGTCTGCTCTCAGTCACACTAGTTATGATGGACTCTGTCATCATAGCGTGAAGGTCACAGACAATGCCTACATGAATGGGCATGCTGTTCTGCTGAAACTGTATTTTCAAAACAGGCCACGGGCTTGATTTGTTCCAAGGCTGTGTTTTACCAACACCTGCTCCAGAGAGTAGGGTAGGAAAAGTGGGCAGTGAAGGAAGAAAATTTGGGAATTTAAAGAGAAAGGATAAAATCTGGGCTGGCTTCCTAGGGGAACTTGATCAACGAGTGATCTGAGTTCAAATCTAGCTCCAGCTCAGAGACCTCAGTTAGCCCTCCATATCCACAAGTCGCGTGCAGATTCAACCACCTGCAGATCAAAAATATGTTTTAAAAGACTACTGAACATGAACAGAGGATTTTTCTAATGATTCCTCAAACAATACAACTACTTGTATTACATTCACATTGTATTTAAGTATTATAAGTAACATAAAGATATTTAAAGTATATGGGAGAATGTGTGTTATGTGCAAAACTGTGTAATTCATGTAAGGATCTTGAGCATCCTCAACTTTTAGTATCCTCAGGGCATCCAGTAATCAATCGTCAATAACCAATCAAGGAAGGAATGTACCTATCTTTGTTAGCCTCCACTTCCTCTGTAAAATAGAGGACACAGTAATGCCTACTTCATTATATCGTTCTGAGAAACAAATGATAGTGAATAGAGGCGTCAAGCATAAAACTCAATAAAGATTTTTTTCTTGGTTTTTCTGAGACAGGGTCTCACTATGTAGTTGAGGCTGACCTGGAACTCGCTATGTAGCCCACGCTGATCTCGAACTCACAGCGATCCTCCTGCCTCAGCCTCCCAAGTTCTGGGATTACAGGCGTGTGCCCCCACGCCCAGCTAAAGATTTTCTTGCTTAAATTTAAAGGTTTGCCCACAAACCACTGGGTACAGCTGTAGTTGGGAGCCATAGCCAAGGAGCCCAGGCAAAGCATAGGGCCCTTGAAGCCTGAGAGGTAGGACTAGAAGGGTAGGAGCTAGATCTGGGTCAGGGCTAGGAAGTGACACGAAGAGCAGAGTGTATATACCTAGTTCCAGAAGATCCACAGGTATAAACACACACAGCTGTGCACCTGCATGCACACCAAGGTGTGGTGTGGCCCAGGTCCATTGCTCTTGGTGGGAAAGGGGTCCAAAATGCTGATTCCTGGGCTCATCAGCGTGACCTCTGGGGAAGTGGTGCCCCCACAGCAGTATAGCTCGTTGGTCCCCATCGCAGACCAGCATGTCTCACCAGCACACGCTACATGGATCTGTGCTGCTACTACTGCTGCTCCTCGTAGCCTAGATGGATGGAAACAGCTAGTCTTGGACTCAGGGCAGCCCAAAATCTTCCCACCCATGCCTCCCACACTTTCAAGACTTTCCTGGTTGAGGTGGGGGTGCTTAACAATGTGGGTCCCAGCCCAGGAAATCTAGTTTAGTAGCTCTAGGAAGGATCCAGGAATTTTCATCTTAGCAATCTCAGAGGGATATTTTTCATCAGTGAGCTCAGGACCCCATTTTCAAAAATAAAGCTTTACCTCATCTTTGAATGCAGCTGAATAATAGGGCAATGGGACCCCCAAATTCCTTCCAGAAACTGCAGTCATGTAGTCTGCCCCTTCTCTTACACTTCCTCCTTATTGCCTGCAAGGGGAAGAAAGGATCTATTTTAGGCATCTTGGGGTATCCCTCGTAATTCTAAAGCAGACATGAAGATTTTCCAAGAAAAGTAAAACATCCAGAAAAATAAAACATCCATCCAGAGAGATGATCCAATGCTCGCCAGCTCAGAAACTTCGGTAGCACTGTGCAAGTCCAGTTTCTTCCTGGCCACCTGAGAGGTTGGTGCCAATCTTTCTTTTTCATCCTAGGACACTCTGTTCCCAGCACCTACACACACACCTACACACATTGCCACCATCTAGTGTCATGGTGTCTGAATCAAGGGAAACAGGATTCGAACACGCGGAAATTCAACAAATACTTAGGGAGTGAACAACTGAATGGGACCGTGATGGTTGGGGAGGTTGAAAGGATCCATTGAGAATACTTATAAAGGGCTGGGGATTTAGCTCAGTGGTTCCAGAGCCTGACTCGCAAGCGCGAGGACCTGAGTTCAATCCCTAGTACCAAACAACAACAAATGAATACTTATAAATATATACTGAGACCATTTCTTAACTAAAGACACATCTCTACTCCTGAAAGTTTTTCAATTGTTCAGGCAAAAAGGGCCAAGACAGACCATAAATCAATAACTCCATATCTGCATATGAACCCAAATTGCAAAGTCACTTACTCCCCCCACCTGTATATCTAAATAAATGCTATTCCTTCAACATCGGCTCCTTGGGAGGTCTTCCACAATTATTCTAATCACACTGTCAATCATCACAGTATGTTGGGTTGGAATTCCATCTCTGGAATTTACCTTAGGAGTCAGTTTACTCTATGGCTACCCCTTGTTTTTAATCCAAAAAAGACAATTTAATTTGATCGATCTCCTTATCCCCAGGCATGGTGCCAAACAATTTCAGGTTATTCCAGAAATCAAATGAGCTCTCAAAGGATGCAAACTTACAATTCGTTAGAACATTTAAAAGCTCTGACAAAGGTCCCCAAAAGGAATCCCAAGCATGACGTGAAGACGGTAGCATTGTTGGGTGGATGTGTGTTTTACTGTCAGAGTCAGGAGCCCCGCAGGCATGAACTTACTTGGGTCAGATCTGGTAAGTCTCATCTGCTATCAGCAAAGAGCTTGACACCTCTTGTTCTCTCTCATCGCACGGTGGCAGGATGGGTCAGATGCTCACCAAATGTAGTTCCTCCTCTTCCCAACTACCTGCTGGCCTGCCCTTCCAGAAATTTTCAGCTGGATAGACTGTGTATCCAGCTCTGGGCAACTGAGTGCAGGCAGAGATAACATGAACCCTTCTAGACCATCCCCTAAGACTCCCCAGACTGCCCTTGGGTCCCTCACTTCTTCCACCTGGATGCTGAGAATTCAGAGGAAGGTTCTGAGGGCAGAGGTGTTCTACCTACTAAGCTGAAGGAGCTTCAGTCCCTGCATGTCCATATAAACTGTCAGAGTTCATTCCCTCTGACTTGCATCAGACTGGAACATGGCCTGACAACAAATCTACAGCATTAAGTAACTGAGATTTGGCGATGCTTGTTACAGCAGCACACCTACCCTGACACGGACTCACAGATTTACACAGAGCTGCCCATGCCAGAGCAACCCAGTTAGAAACTGGGAGCACCTTTTATAGCATCTGCCCTTGTGACTTCGAAGTGGGTTTCATATTTGAAACCAGCATTGGTTCCTCTGTCTTCAGGTCGTCATATGTATGGTTTATGTCACGTCACACAGGCCAGCACACCCCAGCTCCTTCTGCTGGCTGCTAGAAACAACTGCTAACCTTTTAAAATGCCACCCATGCTCAGGGCTTCCCAAGTGAACCTGATGTGTACCACATGGCCCACTGAAAGGCAGAAACAGCAACACACACACACACGCACTCACAAACATGAAAAAAAAAAAGCTGAAAGAAACTCAGGCTGGCTCTTATTTTAAACCCCGTTTAGAGAACCACTCTGCCTCAGAAGGTAGCTGTGAACCCCTCAATTCACTGACTGGTGGGAGTACCCACTGCCTTCCACCCAGCCCAGCTGATCAGAGCTGAAGGACAGGGAGGACACCAGCAGCACGCTGTGAGATGGGCTGCCTTCCTGGGAGCACAGCCAGCTGGGGCTCCTGACACTGGGGTGGGGGGTCCTTTCTTACCATCTGCTCTTTCATTGGAGTACCATCTTCTCCCTGAGAAAACCTCATCAAGAATCAGGAAATCGAATCCCTCTATTTCCTGCCTTACACTGACAAGTGGCCTGCATTTCTGCTTTTTAGCTCCCCAGCCAAAAGAACCTGGTACAGCTCCCACATGCAAGGTGCCAAGCAGGGAGTGATGAGCAGACTTCTGCTATTCTCCTGCCTTCTGAGTGTAGAAAAACCTCAGCAAGTGCAGCCACTGCGGCCAGTCCTCTCCTCTTGGGCACCTGTACACACGCCAAGGGAATACAGCCAGGCAAGGAGAGGGTTGTTTGCTCTAGACTAGGCCTTGTTGCAAAAGTCCTGCACAGTGGGATCAGTTTTTTTGGAATTCAGGGAAAAGACTGAGGGAGGAGCAGTGCAGGGAAGTGGCCAAGTGAATGTGACAGGCCAAGGGCTTAGGCTGGTGCCAGGTTGGGCAGAGCTCTGTGGGTGTCCTGGCTCAGATTTGGACATGGTGCAGATCTCCTGCTGGTTTTGGCTGGTGAAGGTGTCCTGCTAGGAGGCCCATGAGATACCGAGTAGTCTCTTGAAGCAGCAGGACTCCACTCTGCTCTGAAATTTCAGTGCCAAGCAGCACTGAAGATCTCTTTTTGTTTTTTCTTTCTGTGTTGCCTGCAGTAAGCAATGCAGAATTAGCAGGGGTGGCTCTCACAGCATTATCCCCTCTATCTCCTTAAAACAAATGAGTCTCACTTTATTCACCACTCACAGCTCCATGTTCTGACAGTAGGAATTTTAGTCTCCATTCTACTAAGAAGGAAATACGTTTCAGAGAGGTCAGAAGCCTGCCCAAGATCGCAGAGCTAGTAAGTGGCAGAGCCAAGTGCACACAGATTTTGTTCCCCAAATCCCCTGCATTTGCAACATTAACCTCCCTCTTCAGTGAGCCCACTTAAAAGTAACCTGTAGGAAGAGGAGTGATTAGGTTGAAGGTGTCTATCCAACTTGGTCCCAAACTTGCTTCCTCCAAGAAGTCGCCTTGCTTCCTTCCTCACTCATCTCCTCAGCCTGTGTAGATCATTCTGCAGCAGGTGGTTTGGCTGAACGCTTTGGACTGATGTTCCAGCCATGCACTGTGCGCAGCTCCACGGTCTCCACAGTAACTCAGCTTCCAAGACAGGTGTTGTAGGCAGAACATTGCCCTCCCAGGATGGCTGGGTCCCAATCCCCTGAGCCTAGGAATGGGTGATGGACCTGGCAAGGGGAACTGTGAAGATGTGATTAAATTAAGGATTTTGAAATGGGGAGATTGTCCTGAATTACCAAGTGGGTCCAATCTTATCACAAGGGTCACAGAAGAAGAGGGAGGCAGGAAGGAGCTGTGGCGGATAAGCAGAAGCAGCAGTGAGTGTGACTGTGTGAGGCTGGCTTTGAGGATGGGTGAGGTCGTGACCCAGGGATGCAGACAGCTGGAAAAAGTCAGAAAAGCAAGGAAACTGGTCCTTCCCAAGACTCTAGAAAAAATACCAGCCCTTCTGACACCTTGGTTTTGGCCCGGTGAGAACCACTTTGGACTTCTGCCCTCTCGAATGATGAGAGGACACATTTGTGTTGTCTTAAGCCAATGAATTTGTGTTAATTGTCACAGCATAAATAAGAAAGTAATTCATCAAGTGTGTGTATTTTATTCCTTTCCTGCCTGTCTCCACATGGCCTCCAAGAAGCCACTCTCACAACCTACTGGTGCCATAATGCCCAGTATACAGTGGGGACTTGGAGAACTTCAAGTGACTGTTCCCTGCTACCCCAGAGGTCCAGGCTTTCCCCCAGTGTTCCTCACTTATCTCAGCAGTAGGAAGCCCCTTGCTTGCCCACCCTCCTATGTCTCTATCATAGCAAAGAGAGCAGAAATAGTCAGGTACGCATCAGGGAAAGAGCACAGATAAATCTGGATTTCTGAGCCTGGATCATGATTTACATTTTGAAAGGAAAAGAGGCCAATCTGATCGGCTCGTACTTGAGCCAAGTTCATTGCGGGGTAGGGCCCTGAGTTGAAAATTAATGAATAAGTGGTCACTACATGCTCTCTGTCCATCCATTACTGGGTGACAAGGCAGGTTGATCACTCTCTCTTTGGGCTCCTGCTCCTTATCCAAGTGTCAAGGAAGTGAATTCTCAGACTCAAGAGGAAGACGGGTAGACAATAACGGTTTCGTGCCAACCTGCTGACCTTAGCTGCATTCTCTACTATTACTCTTAGTCAAAGCTTTGCACCTTTTCCTGGTATTAATATACAGACCGTCACCTTCTTTCCCATCCTTAACTATATACCCTTGGAAACCCAAAGAGAAAGAAGAATCTTCAAGATGGAATCTTGAACTTCAAATTCTACATGGACTTAGAATGGTTTGTACAGGACTCACCCAGTTGCATAGGTTGGAGGACTTGTTAGCATAATTCCCAGAGACAGCATAGAAAGTGGCCTCTACTCTGGGTCCCAGTCTTTCAAGAAGGCTCTGGGATTGGCCTGTAGTACTCAGCCTAATCTGGCTGGGAAATTCACTTAATGGCCTGTGATCACATTTTACATAATAAATCTGAGGTTGGTAAGATGTACCTGGCACAGGAGAGGCAGTTTCAGGCATCTATCTATAAAGTTATGTGTGCAGTTGCTCCAGCCACAGATAGATGAATGGTGGATGAAATGGAAGTCGAGCAGATGTGCAGATGGGTGTATCAATGAATGGAAACAAGGGACGAGTGGGTGGGTGGGTAAATGGGCAGGCCAGTGGGTGAGTGATTAGGTAGTTGGTCAGATCACTAGATGAATCATTTTAATAGCTGGTTTAGCCAGAAAGGAGACATTCGTGTTCCCAGAAATCCTGATACAACTTTCATTCATTCAGACATCATCAGCTACAGCTGTGGACTTCATGGGGAAACTTTCAGGCCATGAGTCTGCCCCACCCCCACCCCTATGTATCTCAGAAAGTGCTACTGGTCTCACTGCTAGACAGATTGACTTTGCTGACATTTTAAAGGCATCCTTTAGCTTCATAAAACCTGCACAAATGATCCAGTGACATGCATATGGTGTCTCTCTGATGACTTGCATTTACTACTGATCTTGATAAATATTCTTAATGTGCCACCTCAGGATCTGTCTGCCCCGCCTGCCTCAGAGGCTGAGGCCACTCTTTCCATCTCACTCACCACTGTGACAACCTGTTATGGGTGGGTTCTGCAGAACTGCTAGACACTCACACACGTGCAAAGCACAAAATGCAGGAGTAGTCAATGTCTTCTCAGAGCTAACCTCTGACTATAGGAAAAAGGGACCAGGAGCTAAATTAGGGCCCTACCCTTTGTCTGGAAGAGGGTCTCGAGACAGATGTCCCTACAGTCTCAGAGTAAGCCTTTGGGTGTACATGGTCCTATGTGGCAGCCAATCTTCCTTCTCTACCTCATGCTCCTTTTTTCTCACTCCAGTTTCCCTGGATGCACTTTATAAAGTGGTAGTTTTGTAAACTAATTTCTGGGGAAGCCAGGCTTACACCTGATTAATACTAGTTACACAATGTAGTTTGGGTTAAATATAGGATGTTGGCCTCATTAGAGCTTCAGCCTGTTTAGCATCTGCTGTGCACACTAAACTGTGAACTATTCATTTTGGTGTCTCCAACACTAAGTATAATGTTGGGCTTTAAAAACAATCATGCCCCATTTGTTTCTTATTGTTTTCTATAAAAGTAATCATGTTGGTGTGTGCTCTTCCTGGATATCTGACTCATCTTACTTGTATGGTTTTCAGCCTTGGTGCTATATTTTTCAAACTCTCGTGGTGTTCAAATTCAGTACCATCTTTGCCAGAGAGGTTCCATTTTTAGCTTGTGCAGAATTAAAAACAAAGAGCAGATTCAGTTAAGGTTTTGAGGCACAGTGGGAAGAAAAAGATACCCAGTGTGTCCTGAGACTGTTTCCTCATCTGGCAAAGCCTTTATAGATGTGATGAATTTAAGACTCTTGACATGAGGATTAGCCTGGATTCTCTGGGTGGAGAGAATGCAATCTCAGGCATCACTATGAAATAGAATATTTTGCCTAGATGTCCCTCCTAAGCCTCATGCAGCCATAGGTGGGCCTTTTTGAAGGTGGCTGGATTTAGGCTGTGTGATGCTGAGGTTAAGGGTACATGATTATTAAATTAGCCCACTGACTGGTTTAGCATAGTTCTGGGTGTGGATAATGGGAAGGTCCACCCTGGGTGGGTAGCCTAAAAGGGATAAAAGGGAAAGGCAGACTGCTGCTGCTGCTCTTGCTGCCTGCTGCCTGCCATGCTATGCCAAGGACTGTTTTTCCTCTGCGATGCCCCTCTGCCGTGCCTCCTTGCCTTGCAGCCAGCCAACTATAGACTGAAAGCTCTACGAACACTGAGCCGAAATAAACTTTTCTCCCTCTGACTTTCAGTACCAAGTATTTTGCCTCAGCAACTAGAGAAAGTAACTAAGACACAAAGACAGAGATGGTGTTTACATGTACAGAGGTGAAGGCAACGAGAGGTGGAACACAGAGAGATTCAAAGATGTTGGATATGAAGATGTGGGGTGATAGAGCCTCAAATCCAAGAACACTGATAGCAATCACTGCAAGTTAGAGGAGCCCGCTCACCCCAGCACCTAGAGAGAATTTGGCCCTGCCGACATCTTGATTTCAGCTCAGTGAGGTTGATTTCAGACTTCTGGTCCCTAGAGCTACAAGAGAATAAATTTCTGTAGCTTTTAAGCTAACCAGTCTGAGTGATCTGAACTCAAAATTTGATGTCTGTATATTATAATGGAAATAGTTCATTAAATTCTAATGTTGCTCAGTAATCTGGTATTTAACCAAAGCTAGATTTTGTGAACAGTATCATAAACAAGAATTGTGTTCCAGGAAAGAAGGTTAGGAGCTAGTTGGCTTTTCACCATAACCTTCACAGCCCTTATCCACTTCTAAAGCTTTCTGTTCAAAAGATCAATGATTTTCAAAATATGCTCAAGGACCACCGGCACTGAATCACCTGTGTTGCCGTGAGGCCCATGATTCCACCCCAAAGTGTGAAAGGCCTCAGAATGAGGTGCAGACACCTGTACTTTGCACACACATCCCAGATGGGGCTCAGCACACTGACTCAGGAGAGGCTACACTACAGAGGAAGGCGTCAGAGGTGACCTAGTGTCCTTCCCTTTATGGCTCAATGGCAACACTACTGACCCTGGGCAGGGTGGTGAACTTAGGGGGCAGCCATCATCCAGAACCCTGCTGCTTGTGTGGAGTGCTACAGTACCCAGTGCTCATGGTGGGTACCAGGCTGAGCTCATAGACGAACCAAGAGTCCTGTCCCTTTATGCCAATCATGCCACAAGACAGCTGCAAAGGCGTTCAGGGAGTCAAAGACTACAGATACTTTTGGGAACATGAGTTGCCATGAAGCCATTCATGCTAAGTTAAGCTTTTAATTAAAATGACTTTCTCCAAACAGGAATACTTACAAAGGTATGTGCCCTTAGAACCTATGATTCTGCTTTTGGGAATTTATCCTACATATATGGTTTCTGATTGTACACGTGCATAAGATTATTCACTGCAGAGCTGACAATAATAGCAAAGGAGCACAAAGAATGAAAACGTTCATCACTCTGGAGCTAGTGAAATAAATCGCAGCATATTCATACAATAAAAAAGAATGAGGAAACTGTATAAATATTGATAAATAAATGTCTCCAAGATAGATTGGTAAGGGGGGAAAAAGCAAGGTGTGGAATGTGTGCATAATATGCCACCTTTGTGTATGAAAAGGGAATGAAAAGAATCCACATTCCCATTTGCTTAGTATTTTCATAAAGAAATGCAGGCCTTGTGGATGAGAACAGCAGTTACCTCTGTACCAGGAGATAGGACTGAGCAGATGGGAACAGGATGGGAAGGAGACTTCTTACTCTTATTAACATTACACCTCAGGCCTTGGAGCCATTTGAGTGTATTATGTATGTAAAAAAAGAAATAATGAAATACAATTAAAAATAAGCTTTATTGTGTTGCTTAAACCAAGCATTTTGGTTCGTGTTCTCCTCCACACCTGTTTGTCCTGGTGTCCCCTGAGAGTCCCGGCATCCCAGCTGGAGCTCTGTGGCAGGGTGCCCGGTTCCAGAGGCCTCCCAATTCCCAGCACTCCCCTGGGCTAGCCGAGGATCTGGGCCAGGGTGCAGGCAAGAGTGGCAGTGGGAAGCCAGCCATGGAGTTTCCTGCTGGGGAGACGCAGCACCTCAGAGGTTCTGAGGTGTGGGCCCCCTGTGTCCAGGGAAACAAGAGTCCCAGCCCAGCTCCTAGTATGGGGGCAGCAGCTGCTCCCGACTCAGGAGCCAGGAGCAGTGGTAGCGATCCCGAGCTGCGAAGTCTGCATTCTCCTGGGTGAGCTGAGTCATTGCCATGTCCACCCTCGCGACAGAGGGTGCCACAACGATCTGCTCCTGGGGGGACCGCAGGCTCCTTTGGGGAGAACAAAGAGGATGGTGAGACAGAATGGGGAGACCAGGCTACTTTGGGTAGAGAAATTGCTTGCAAAAATGCCAGCTGTGCCAATGTTTAGTGTGCACTTAAAATTGTAAATCTAACTGTTGAGAGCTATGTGAACAACACGTTGTGGACTCAAAGTATGAAAACTACAGAGCATCTTCCTCAGTTTTCTGGTTGCTGAGACCAATACCTGACTCAATTTAAAGGAAGCGAGGTTTATTTTGGCTCAGTTTGTAGAGGTTTCAGTCCATAGAGCACTAGCTCCAAGGCAGGGTGGGGCAGAGGAGAGCTCCTTCAGGCACCTCAAGGTGAACAGGAAGCAAAGAGTAAGGGAGGAGACAGAGAAGGAGATACATCTTTCCAGGCCCAACGCCCAGTGGCTGATGAGGCCCTGCCCCCCACAAGCAAGTCAGCTGTAAGCCCTGCAATCCCATCAGTCACCTTCCAGAAGCCCTGCCTATGATCACATGAGGCTCTGGGGGCACATCTGGCTGTAAACCATAACGCAGAGGATACAAGTAAGGAGAGAGTGTGATGTTGACCCTTCTTAAGTAGAAAAGCAAAGAACTGTACTCACCTGACTGGAGATAATCCACAAAAAGAGATAATAAAGGATATTTGACATAAACAAACAACAAATAGTAAGACAGTTCATAGAGACCTAACTATATTATCATACTGAATATAGATTGCTGGGCTCTCACTTTTCTTTTTTCTGTCAACTGAAATAGCAGAATGAAGAAGCTGGAGAATTGAAAAGAGTGGAAAAAGGAACCTCCTTGATTCACTGGAAAGAAAGATGCCTGAGGAACGATTTCCACAGAGCTAAGGCTAACTCAGCCAGCTGCAAAGAGGTAAACTGCAGAGACTTTTGTCCCCAAAGAGGCCTCAAGACACAGAGAGAGACCCGATACAGATGCCACTGTCACAGTTAGAATAAGCTGTAAAGACAAACATTAGGGATACAGGGGAAAGTACTAGGGGCTGAACGGAGTGAGGAAACTCAGACTGGCAGCCAGGGCAGTTACAGAAGGCTAATCCGGGTACCACTCTGTTTCTAATCAGCTCAGTGGCCTCAGGAAGCCTCCCCATCTCTGTGTGCCTCCGTTTTCTCATCTTTCCCAGGCTCTTTCCATGTTCTCCAGTCTGTGCTGGGTTCTCAAACCCTCACTGAGGATTGCTCGGTTAAGACTTTACTCTAAAAGAATCAGCTATTTTACTAATACCATAGTAAGGTTCAATTGTTTACATCAGGAATATACTTTAGAGTCATAAAAAGGTAGAAATATAATGTCATAAATCTGTAGAACTTAAGCACAAACCTAACTGACTCTCTGCAAAGTGTCCAACTACAAAAGTTCAGGTCATGTGGCTAAGGCATTCCAGACATTTATTGAGGACATATCCAAATTATACCAGTCAAGAGTTTCTGAACACTGAATTAACTTCTAATAAGGGTTGAATCTTCAAAAAGTAAGATCAAGACAAAATTTCATATAGTCAACCAGCCTATGTACATTTTGCCAATGTACTTTTTTCTGCTAACTTAAAAAAAAAAATAGGTGAAGCCATTATATTCTTCTATGTTCAGGGAAATGACATACGGTACTTCACTTTCTAGCCTAGAATGGTTTAAGAATCCTCAGGTGGACTGTTGCTTGAGGTTACGACACAGCCAAGTCCTTCTGCTCAAACACATTTTACTACTTTATTATTCCTTTTTAGTTCTGAAGGAAATTTGGGTTTTGGTTGAGGAAAAAACTCAGAACTACAAAATAGAAAACACAAGAACCAATTTCTATTGTTGAAGGAGTGGCCATTTCTTGGTCCTTTCCCCCTCTGGAGTTACCCTCACAAAATCCTGCCCTGGTGAGGCCAGTAAGTCTGCAGTTACATTAGAAGAGCCCTCTCCACCCACTTTCCCAGCCCAGAGCCTGACACAGGAAGGTTTGTGGTGGGCACTGAGGTCTACTCAAACCAAGTACCGTCCTGTGCAAGCCTCTCCTGATCCATTCTGCCTTTACACAGGGCAGCAGGGGCCTCATGGCGAAGCCCAGGCATTCAGAGTGCAACCTAAGAAGCAGTGACCTCCCAAGGGCATTTTTAAGCTGTAAAACTGGAAATTACTAAATTATTCTTGTAAATGAGACCACACCACATATAACCACCCACACATCATTTGCAGCTCAAGAATCCATAGGTATTTTCTACACAGAACTGTTTCCACTTAAGCTCTGCTTTCCCTCAGGACTAGGTTGTTGGGGAAAAGAGATCAGAGTGAATATGTGGTGACCTGAGTCACCCAACCTCGCCTCAGACTGGATGAGAAGCAAGGGGGCCACTGCACCCTTTCCCCGGGTCCACATGCGACAGCTAGCCCAGCCCACTGAAGCAAATGGCAGGAAATTCTCCTCCCACACCCAGACCTCATCCCTGCGCCTTCACAGCTCCGACTCTCTTGGTGTTCTCTATTATCCTGCTCCTTTTTCTTCCTTATCCTGCGCCTTGGCACCAAGGTTTCATTTTTTTAGGCCAACTCGAACATATTGGCAGCAATTAAAATGAAACAGTTCCGGAGGTGGGTGGGATGATGGTGGTTGTGTGACAATGTGATTATGTTTAACGCCACCATACAGTACACTTAAGAATGGTTAAGACAGTGAAATGTATGTTATGTGTATTTTGCCAAAACAAAAAAGCTTGCATCTGGGGTCAATGGGCAAGTAACCCATAATTTATTAGCAAAGTCTGGGCAAGGTGGGTAGAAATATTGGCAATGCAAACCAGACACCAAGAGTTTCAAAAGCAAACTAACAAAATGAAATGAATAAAGACTTGGTTTGGTTCTGCCTGGCTTTGCCCAGCCTGCAGCTTTGGCTCCTCACTGATACTAAAAGGTGACAGAATAAAGAGAGGAATTCATCAGAACCTCAAGGCTTGAAAAGGTAAAGAAGCTCCTAGAGTGGTGGAGAGGGGAGAAGATTAAGGCCACATGAAAAATGGCCTCCTCTCTAAGGCCTTCCATTTCCTGTGTGTCCTGCCAGCAGGTCCCACTGCAATCCTCCGGGATCCCTGCTTCACTTCTGTGTTTGGCCTCTGAGCTGTTGCTACTGCATGACGCCAACTACCTCTGACTTGAGATGGGGGAACGTTCGTCCTGGCTTCACATTTCCTTCCTCGGCTTTAATCTCGAAGGTGATCAGGTATCAGTGCTAATGAGCCTCAGACTGTGAACTGCGAGAGCAACCCTGCTGGCCTGACACGTCTGCAATCAGATTCTAGACAAAGCCTCTGTTCATGTGGCTGGGGACAGGACAGGCAGAGGGCAGGAGCCAGAGGAAGCCGCTAATGAGCTGAGCCAGGGCTGGGGCGGGGCAGTGAGGAGCACAGTGGGAGCCTCCCTGAAGTTCTCAGCTCTCAGCTTTCACACCACAGTTCAGGCTGAAGCTCAGCCAAGAATGGGGCCCCCTCAGCATCAGCTGGGACTCTGGGACACCCATCCACAGTGGTGCCAGACCCAAATTGGCACAGACCTGAAGGAGGGGAACAGACGAGACCTCATCCATCTGAAAAAGCTGAAATTGGAGGCTGATCCTGCAGGGAGGAGAGACATAAATATTTATGAAGGCTGCACATAGGCATCCAGAATCTCAGCTTCAGTGGGGTGAATGTATACCTTCACACACACACACACACACACACACACACACACACACACACACGTGCGTGCACACACTCACGCACATGCAGAATAAGCACAAATACTTTTTTCCTTTTTCAGTCTATCCAATTCCCTGGATACTCCCTGACCATAGCCTACCAAAGACTTTGTACCCATATGTAGTTTCCAAAAGTTTATTTCTAAGCACTAAAAATCCCAAGAAAGAAACTGGATACAGTGTTATAAAGAACAGAGTAGGCAACTGGTGAACCACTGTCTTAGGAAGTAAAAAGTTTTTAAATAATATTTATTCTTAGATTCATACTGGTATGTGTTAAATACATGCTATAAAATCCTCTGCTGGGCCAATATTCTTTAAAAAACAGGGAACGTGTCTTTTTCATCCTTGTAACCCTCACAGGATCTGACACTTAGGAAGTTTTCGACAGCTGTTAAGTGAATCAAATAGCTCACCGTGTAGAAATGTTAGTGTTGAAGTTTGAAGTGAGATTGTTGTTGTCAGTGATCTAACAAACCTGGTATCAGGCACATTAATTTGAATACGCTTTTAAAATCTTTTTTTTTAATCCAGTGTCCCTTTGGTGAGGGTTTACAAATCAAAAAACAAAACAAAAGAAAACAAAAAAGCCCTCACATCATAAATATAACCTGAGAAAAATCAAATGCAGTTTTAGAAAATGCTTTTCTATTTTTTTTGAGACAGGGTCTCACTATGTACCCCAGGCTGGCCTTGAACTCGTGGCGATCCTTTTGCCTCAGCTACCCCAATGCTAAGATTTTAGGGCTGTGCCATCATGCCTGGCTACTAAAAGCTTTTCTAAGATTAGATATAGACATACTATATAGATGATATTGGTTAGATCATGCTCAATATGTGAGCAGGAAGTTAACATTATTTTAAGAACTTAAGCTAGAATTTGGCTAGTGTCAGCATCATGCAGCTGATACCATCTCTACCTCGTGTCATTTAGGATTCTTAATGTTAAAGTAAGCATAACTTTAGATTTGCACTAGTATTTGTAATTGTGAAGAAAAGACCCCTACTACATTTAGAGAATGGGTAAACAGTCCGCCAGAAGTCAAAAAGTAGACACATTTTATTAACAGCTCCTACTTATGCGTGGTCGTTTCAACTTTATCTAAATTTCAGTTGATTTTGGTCTGAAATTTTATTTTTCACTTTTCTGTGATCAAACTAGTTTTTTAAATTTCAGAAGCATTCCTTGCTATAATCTCTATATGAATTATATTCTATCCATGAAATTTGCTGATATCAAACTTTTTCTCACACTGCTGTTTTTCTAAATCATTATCTGTAGTGCATGTGTGACTTGGAGTATTTGGACTACATTTTTTTCAAAAATAAACATGAAAGCAATCTAATTTCTGTAGAGGCAGAGAGACATATACAAAAACCCAGGGCAAAAACACGAAGGACTGTCGTTGTTAAATCATCTCATCCTTATCTGTGGCTGATGATGTGAGATCATCACATGTTTATCATTCACCATGTACTTGAGGAAACGTACCCTACTGTATCCCTATGAAAGTGTTACTCACGTTTGCTGACTTTGTCCCCTTCCCAGAAACAAAGGCTAAGATGCTAAGTTCCCAGACCACCAATCAATGAAACAGTTAATTTTAGAAACCAGCTTACCCTGATAAGTGTGAAGCACATCTCAGACTCACCCGGCACCTTGAGCAAGAGCTATCTTGTATCAGCACTCTGCTGCTAAGATGGTTTCTCTTCTGCTTTCTCTGTATTTGCCACATTCTGAGTAAACGTTCACTTTGTACTATACTGGTTTTGACTCCCCAACATTCTCAGTAAGAGCCCCACTTCTCCATTCTTTGCTGAAGTTAGGGCAAGGACCGGATAGGGCCGAGGGCCACCCAGAGACCTCCCCGCTGGACATAATATTCTTAAGAATTCTTAAAATCCACTTGCCTGGATTATTCTGTTCTATGGGATTTAGTCAAAGCTTGAAACGAATTGCTTTATTTGAAATTGGAGCAACATAGAATTTTCTGAAAAGGGCTCTCTAATCTATTTTTAAAATAGCTTTATTTTTGAGGAAAAATATACAATAAACTATATGCTAGGATGCTTATGTGTCTTCCAAAGTTGGTTAGTTGGGAACTTAATCCCCAGTGTAGTAGTGTTCAGAGGCAGGATCACAAGCTTAATGCCAACCTCCTGGGAGTGGGGCAGTTACCTTGGGAGTGGGTTCCTGGTAAAAAAGATGAGTTCAAATTCCTCCTCTCCCATATCTTTCCCCTTCTCTCCCTCCCTCCTCTTCTTCCTCCTTTTCCTTCCTCTGTCTCCTTTGGGCTTTTATATTGGGTTTATATTATATTGGTTCTTTTATTGTTTATCTAGTGGTTTGTAGTAAATACCTTAAACTTACCATACTCTGTACCTTCAAGTGATAGTATAGAACCCTTAATTTCTCACCTAGTTTATGTCCTGCGCACTAGCACAGGACATTTCAAGCTGTCCACTTCGTCAGTAAACGTCACAGAACATATATTTCATTCCACCTGGGCCTTGTGGTAGTGTTGCTATTCATTTTCCTTCTACTGCCAAATCTTATAAACCTCGCAATATTTGTATCATTTTTCAGTCATTGTTATTTAGGTACCTGTCACATGGTATTTTTCCTTCCAGACCATAAGCTTCTTGAAAATGGCATTTACATCTGAGTGAATGTTTGCATTTAACAGATATTCAAAACACGCCCCCCCCATGAATGTTAAAGGGGAAAACAAATGGCACAGACACTTACCAAGGTAGAGTCCTGGACTGGTCTGGCCAATGTAGAAGTACAGAGCAGCAGCAACACTCATGCTAACCAGGGTGTAGACCCACTGGATCACAAACATGATGAGAAGGGACCCAATTGCCTGTGGGACAGAGGAGGAAGGGCTCTGAGGGCTCTCTGCATGGCAAGCGAGACCCCAGTGCAGGCCTTTAGAACCAATAGTCTCTCCCATCAACTTCTGATCTCTGTCAAAGTCTGAATCATTGAAGTTTACTCATAATCCAAAAGACCTCATTGACGCAGATATTTGGAAGACCCTTTCGAAAATAACACTTTAATCAAAACTACCAATAACCAGATCTTCTGTCTTAGCTGTTTGTCCCATTCTTCCTACAAAAACAAATTAGCATAAAACATATAACACAGGGGTTATTAGATACAGTTATTTAAAAAATAAACATTTGATTGAAATAAGTGGTTCATTAAATGTAAATTTCACCATATGTTGTCTCATCTCAATTCTGATGCAGTAGGGAATTGAATCACATTGCTTTTAGTTCGGTCCTCTCCCTCCCTCAAGTCACACATGATTCCACCTCAATTACTTCTCAAGGACAGTTCAGATCAAGCTGAAGTTACTCACTCCTAACAGGGAGACCCAGGGGTTACACATGTGGATGTAGAAAGAAGTTGATCTCCTCTGGATCTCTTGTTCCTGGAGTTTGGACTTCTGGAAGAAATCTAAAAAATCAATTAAGCCAAATCCCTGGTTATCATTTTACCTTTATAGTTTGTGCTCAAAAAATATGGTCAACAGCTCCCCAGCTCGCTATTCTCCAGTACCAAATTTCTGCTTTAGCCAAATTGCCTCGACTGTGCCCAGCCCTCTCCTCTTTGCTGTGTGTCCCCATCCTGTCTCACACACCAAACTCTGTTCTATTTTTATAAGCAAATGCCTATGAGCTGCTCTTACCTAATTTTGTAACTTAGCCTAAAGACAACTCCTGGCACTTGCTCTTGGAGTAGAAAGAAAGAAGGGCTGATGGCCTCCTACAAGCCAAGGATCTGAAAAGAAAGGGAGGGGAGAGATGGAAGCCCCGCTCCACAGGCCTACCACACATCCATCCATCATTTGGGGGAACTAGGAGTTCAGATCACCCCTCTTTCAGATGAAAGGGTGTGGAATGGAGGTCCTGAATAGTTGGCATCCTTGGCCACAGGTGTGAGTGTGAGGGATGGTGGGCCAGGATGACTTGTGTCTGCTGCAGGATGGTTTTTGCTACCATCTGAAGCCATTTAACAATATGGTCTCACCACCGTGAACACCACAAAGGTGTCCCAAATAGATGATATATTGGGTTAACTTTGCTGTACATTTATACTTCATGTCAACACTAAAGCTCTACAGCTTCTGCTCAGAAAATATGGTCAACAGCTCCCTAACTCACTATTCTCTGCTTTAGTCAAATTGCCTTGAATGTGCCCAGCCCTTTCCTCTTTGCTATGTGTCTCCACCCCGTCTCACACACCAGTCTTCTCCACCTCAGTTGCTTCTGATTGGTTGGTCCTCAGAATCCATCTGGGATCCACTCCTGGTGCTCCTGCCCCTCTGCTTGCCTAACTTCTATTCATCCCTCAGCTCAGTATCACTTCTTCCCAAAAACTGGTCCCCACCACAAAAGTTTATTATCTCATACCATTAATATTTCTCCATGACCCATCCCTCTTTCTTCACAGAAATTATTATTTGTAGTTGCATATTTATTTATGTGTATCTAGGTCTACTGGATTGTATCCTTCAGGGGCAGAGGGTCCACATCAGCCTGGGCCTAGGGCTTGGCAAGTAGCTGGCAGTTACTTTGTATTCCTGGTGCAACTCTTCTGTCCTCTCTGGTCACTGATTTTCTGACTCGCTGCTCTGAAGTGCGCACCATCAGATAATCTCATACCCTGCCCTTTATCATTATGGTCCTTCACGAACTTCCTGGTCACTCCTTCTTGTCTTGTTAAAGATTTCAGCTCTGCCTCCACTTCTCTCTCTATCTCCAGCCCATCATCATTCCTGATGACTTTATGGTGACTTCTACAAAACCCACTCAATGTCCTGCTCTTTCACAGTCCCTTGAAATCCTCACTCCAACAATCAGTAACCCCCTCCTCCTCCCTCTCTGCCCCTGTGTGTGCATGTGGTGCTGGGGGTCAAATCCAGGGCTTTGTATATACTAGACAAATGCATTACCACTGAACTATACTCCTACCCTCAAGTCACACGTGAAGTTTCTTATTACCAGTATCTTATATTTCTTTACTCATGACTTTAAATCATCTATCCTCAGCCCATTACCTCCTTAAAACAAAAGTAGGTAGCTCTTTTGCTTTGCTGTCCCTCACTCCAAGCATACATGGTCCACAGAGGAACCCTAGAATGTTTTTAATCCCCATCATCTGCTTCCTGTTTTCACCAATTTCTTACCTAGTTTAAGTCCTGCTACAGTTGAGATCTTAAGTGTCCCCCAAGGCCCATTTATCAAAGGTCTTGCCCCCAGGGATATGGTGGAGACTTCAGTGGGAGGTATCTTTGTCATTAGGGTCATGCCTTTGAAGGAGATTGTGGGACCCTTCACATTTCTCCTTCTATTATGTCCTAGCCATGAAGTGGAAGGTTCTGCTCCATTGTGCACTCCCACCATGATGTTCTGCTTTGCCACAGGCCCCAAAACAATAAGGTCAATCGACCATGGACTGAACCCTCCAAAATGAATCTTTTCTTTTCATAAGTTGGTTAGGCATTTGTTATAGTGATGGAAAACTGACTGATACATGTTTCAAAGTGCATGACTACCAGTGTGCTCTTGCATATATGTCCACTTCCACATTCCAATTTTCCTCAGGAGTCTTCCACTAGGCAACTCATTCTCCTACCCTCTGATATAACAAAGAGAACTTTCATATTCTAATCACCAGGGCTTCCAGACCACTTGTGTCTGGACCCTCTACTCTTCCACCTCTTCTCTTCTTTTATAGCGGATGAAACAGACCCTGCTCCTACCTCAGATTTGTCTCTCCACTGTGGCCTGGATCCCAACCCATTTGGGAGTTTTCTCTCACATCATCAATTTTTCTAGCTCTACTAAATCCTTCTTGTTATGGCTTAAATGTGAAGTATCCCTCAAAGACTTATGAGTGGAAGGCTTGATTCCCAAACAGGAAAGTGAGGCCTTTGGAGAAGAAAGTGTTTGAAGAAGGGAGTGATTGTGTGTCAGTGCTGAAGGCTGAATCCAGGGGTGCTCTGTCACTGAGCTACCTTCAGCCTTTTCTCCTCCTTCTCCTTTTCTCCCTTTTCCTCCCTCTTCCTGTTCTTCTTCTTCTTCTTTTTTTTTAGACAGATCTCACTAAGGTTGCCCAGGCTGGTCTTGAATTTATGACTCTCCTGCTTCAGCTCCCTGAGTAGCTGAGATTATAGGGATGTACCTCTGATCTTTTCTTTGAACGAAACATTTGACTGTCCGTTTGTCTGCTCAAGGTCTCCTCTTAGTTGGCTAATAAATATCTGAAGCTTAACATGACTAAAATAGAAATCTATTCTGCCCAAGTCTTCTTCTTCGGAGTAAATGATAACACGATGTATGCACATATCTGAGATTCATCCCCACTTCTCTTTCTCTCATGCCTGTATCTATTCTTTCTACAAGTGCTGTCAATTCTACCATGAAAATAAATTGTGAATATGATCACCCCTTTGGGTCTCCACTGCTCCCACCCTTGTCCAAGCCACTTTGTCACCTGCGCTGTCATTTGTCCCTTTGTTTACTGCCCTGAGCTCCTGTGGTAGATATCACAACCGAAGTACATTCTTGCAGGCTGGTCTGGTGATGTGGTGAAATTCTCATGAAAAGAGCGTAAACAGAGGTTTTAGGAGACTGTGTGCCTCTTCTCTGTGCTGTTTCCTGCTCCTTTCCTGAAATCTGAATGTAGTCACTTAGCCTTGACCTTACACTTGGCTAAGTCCTAGGGGGTCACAAATTCAAACACACACACTAGTTCCTGAGCTAATGCATGAAGGAGAGATGACTTAGTATTGTGCCACTACATTTTTGGTTATTTGTAATAGCAGTTTGGCCTCCCCTAGTTAATATACTTCCAAATTGACTGTGGCTCCCCTTTTATCTCTATCCAATCCATTTCTCACAAAGCTGGTGATCTTAGAGCCTGAATCTGAGGACACTGCCGCCTAGCTGGAACACTCAGTGGCCCCCACACAGCACTGCCCCCCACTTTCCTGGCCTGACTCTTCTCCTACCTCTCTCCTCTCTGCCCTCCAATCACTGCTGGGCCTCTGTTGTTCTGGAATTTGTCAGTCCACCCCTACCTGCACCTTCAGACAAGCCATTTCATCTGACTGAACCCTTCTACTTCTCTGCGGGGCTACCTGCTTTGCCCAATTCAGTTCTTTGTTGAAATATTCTATTCCTGGCATAGTCTTTCATGATAAACTCACCTGAAACAGCATGTATCCCTCTCTACTCTACTCCCTCTCTATCCCATTGCCCCACTCTATGACTTTTCATAATAGCTATCACTTACTGGCATTACAGTATAGATTTGCTTGTTTGATAGGTATCTTCCCCTACTAGAATAGGGCCCTGTGACAGCAAAGGCCTAAATCTGTTCAGCACATTCCTCTAACAACAGACAGGTGCTTGGAATGTCAATGTTCCATCCATGTGGCGGAATGAATGGACCATTCCACTCCCAAAGAAATCTTCATCTTCTAATGCCTATTTGAATTCAGTTTTTTATGCATCCATACCTGGAGGGGAAGTATCATGTTTTACATCTCTAATGACAATTCTAGGCATCTGGAAGTTTGTGCATAAGAACTTAATAAAAGTCTCCTTACTAATTATGGATGAAAATAAAGACTGCCAAACACCATTGGCTTGAATAATGGCTCTATTACATTTTTTAAATAATGGAAATTCTGTCACAATTGTTATTAGTTAGACCACATCATTTAAAAATGTTAAATGTATGATTCATTTTTTTTAAATCACAGACTTAATGAAATGCAGTTGTCCCTTTACTTGTTTTTTTTTTTTTATTTTATTTTCAGTACTGAAGATTAAACTCAGTACAGGCTGGGCAAGTGCTCAACCACTGAATTACACTTCTAGCCCCATTCCATATATTTTAAATAAACACATATTTCTAAATAGCCAAAACTGAAAATGTGTGCTGCTACAGTCTACATAGAATCAAGTTTAAAGCCCATGTGGTATTTTATCAGGTTGATACTATAATTTGCTTAACCACTTTCCAAATGCTGAGGGTATAAGTTATTTCTAACCTGTCATTAGCACAAACAATACCATGACCATCATGTACATATTTTTTAGCTTGTTGTTTAGTTTTGGGTCATTTTCTTGGTACACAATTCTCTCCAAGTAGATTTACTGAATTGGGGTAATTATCTAATTTTGTATTTATTGGAAATCTTGAAAGATCAGCCTCTTAAAAAAGGATGAAAAAGTGGGACTTCTAGCTACAGCAATGTAACGAGGTCAGTAATTTTTTTCTTCCCCAAATAATTCTAAAACTAGACAAAATAGAAAAAAATATCCAGCCCCTTCAGGGTTCCAGAAATTTACCCAGTCAAGATAACAAGTTGAGAAGGATTTATTTTTCAAAAACTGCTGGAGCTGAGGGTAAAGCAGTGAGAGTCTGTAGACTTCCTGCCTGGG